GCCCCCGGGACCCTTCCGGTGGTCCCGGTACAATACCGATGACCCCGAAACTTGTCCCGATGGCCGAAACAGGACTTCCTATATATAAATCTTTACCTCCGGACCATTCCGGAACTCCTCGTGACGTCCGGGATCTCATCCGGGACTCCGAACAACATTCGGTAACCACATACAAGCTTCCTTTATAACCCTAGCGTCATCGAACCTTAAGTGTGTAGACCCTACGGGTTCGGGAGACATGCAGACATGACCGAGATGTTCTCCGGTCAATAACCAACAGCGGGATCTGGATACCCATGTTGGCTCCCACATGTTCCACGATGATCTCATCGGATGAACCACGATGTCAAGGACTCAATCAATCACGTATACAATTCCCTTTGTCTAGCGGTATGGTACTTGCCCGAGATTCGATCGTCGGTATACCGATACCTTGTTCAATCTCGTTACCGGCAAGTCTCTTTACTCGTTCCGTAACACATCATCCCGTGATCAACCCCTTGGTCACATTGTGCACATTATGATGATGTCCTACCGAGTGGGCCCAGAGGTACCTCTCCGTTTACACGGAGTGACAAAATCCCAATCTCGATTCGTACCAACCCAACAGACACTTTCAGAGATACCCGTAGTGTACCTTTATAGCCACCCAGTTACGTTGTGACGTTTGGCACACCCAAAGCACTCCTACGGTATCCGGGAGTTGCACAATCTCATGGTCTAAGGAAATGATACTTGACATTAGAAAAGCTTTAGCATACGAACTACATGATCTTGTGCTAGGCTTAGGATTGGGTCTTGTCCATCACATCATTCTCCTAATGATGTGATCCCGTTATCAACGAAATCCAATGTCCATGGTCAGGAAACCGTAACCATCTATTGATTAACGAGCTAGTCAACTAGAGGCTTACTAGGGACATGGTGTTGTCTATGTATCCACACATGTATCTGAGTTTCCTATCAATACAATTCTAGCATGGATAATAAACGATTATCATGAACAAGGAAATATAATAATAATCAATTTATTATTGCCTCTGGGGCATATTTCCAACAATAGCTCCCGTGGCGGTCCGTCTGTACTTCTACCCGCAGCTACAGAAGGACGAGCTGGAGCGGCAGTGTGCGATCATGCTTGCCCTGGGCATCATTCGAATCTCGACCTCGCCGTTCTCGGCACGGTTCTCTCGTCCGCAAGGCGGACGACACGTGGCGCTTCTGCATCGACTATCGTGCTCTTAACGCCAAGACGCTCAAGGACAAGTTTCCCATTCCGGTCGTGGACGAGCTCCTGGACGAGCTACACGGGGCACGCTTCTTCACCAAGCTCGGCCTACGTTTGGGATATCACCAGGTGCGCATGCACCCGAATGATGTCATGAAGACGGCCTTCCGCACTCATCACGGCCACTTCGAGTTCTTAGTGATGCCCTTTGGCCTCTCCAATGCGCCGGCGACATTTCAGGCTTTGATGAATGATGTCCTCCGCCCCTACTTGCGCCGGTTTGTGCTTGTTTTCTTTGATGACATTCTTATCTACAGTTCATCATGGGCGGAGCAACTACAACACGTGGCCATTGTCTCCAATGAGCTTCGAGCGCACCATCTGCACCTCAAGTGCTCGAAGTGCTCATTCGGCACGACATCAGTCGCCTACCTCGGCCACGTCATCTCGGCAGAGGGTGTTGCTATGGATGCCGACAAGGTGGCGGCTGTCCCGGCGTGGCCAATGTCGCACTCACCGCGGGCTCTCCGCGGTTTCCTCGGCCTCGTGGGCTACTACCGGAAGTTCATCCGGGAGTTTGGCCTCATCGCGGCTTCCCTCACGCGCCTGCTCCGCCGCTACGCCTTCTGTTGGGATACTGAGGCGACCAAGGCGTTCACGACCCTCAAACAGGCGCTCACGACGGGGTCGGTCCTCCAGATGCCTGACTTCGACAAGCTCTTCGTGGTGGACTGTGACGCCTCGGGCATGGGGTTTGGCGTCATCCTACATCAGGGCGACGGGCCCCTCGCGTTCTTCAGTAGGCCCTTCGCCGCGCGCCACCACAAGCTCGCGGCCTACGAGCGGGAGCTCATCGGCTTGGTGCAGGCGATGCGCCACTGGAGGCCATATTTATCGGGGCGGTCGTTCCGTATCCACATGGACCACTACAGCCTCAATTTTTTGTTGGACCGGCGCCTCTCCACCATGTCGCAACATCAGTGGATCAGCAAGTTCTTCGGGTTCGACTTCACCGTTGAGTACCGTCCGGGTCGCCTCAACATCATGGCGGACGCGCTGTCCCACCGCGACACCGACCTCGACACGGATACCGTCGACTCCACAGGGGCGGCCCTCTGCATCCTCTCAGGCCCCTCCTTCACTTCATCGACGACATCCGCCGCACCACCGCTAGCGCCGCCGACGCGCAGTTCCTCCAGCGCCTTGCGGACGGTGACCTGGAGGAGCTGTGGCAGCTGGCCGACGGGCTGGTCCTGCACGGGCACCGACTTTTCATGCCAGATCACGACGACCTCCATCACCAGGCCCTGCTGTTGGCCCACTCGGCCGGCCACGAGAGCGTGCAGAAGACCCTCCACCGTCTCCACGTAGATTTCTACATCCCTGGCGATCATGCGTTGGTGCGCGACTGGGTGTGGTCTTGCGTGACATGCCAGCGCAACAAGACGGAAACACTGCAGCCGGCGGGGCTACTACAGCCCCTGGAGGTGCCCTCTCATGTCTGGGCTGGCATCTCCATGGACTTCATCGAGGGCCTCCCAAGGTGGGCGGCAAGTCCGTCATCCTTACGGTGGTCGACCGCTTCTCCAAGTATGTGCACTTCATTGCGCTCGGCCATCCCTACACCGCCACCTCCGTCGCGCTGGCCTTTTTCGATGGCATCGTCCGCCTTCACGGGTTTTCGTCCTCGATCGTCAGCGACCGTGACCTGGTGTTCAGGGGACATGTCTGGCGCGACATGTTTCGGATGGTGGGCATGAAGCTCCGCCTAGTACGGCTTTCCACCCCCAAACGGACGGCCAATCCGAGGTGGTCAACAAGGTGATTGCCATGTACTTACGTTGTGTTACAGGTGATCGCCCACGTGCATGGGTCGACTGGCTCTCTTGGGCGGAGTATTGCTACAACACCTCCTACCACTCCGCCCTGCGTGCCATGCCATTTGAGGTGGTCTATGGTCGTCCTCCGCCACCCATCTTGTCGTTCCAGCCGGACACGACACAGACCGAGGCGGCAGCCGAGCTTCTCCGTGGCAGGGATGAGATCCTTGCCGAGGTGCGCCAGCGTCTTCTCCAGGCCCAGCAGCTGTCCAAGAAGTACTACGACGCTCACCGCCGTGAGGCGGAGTTCGCGGTGGGCAATTGGGTGTGGCTGCGCCTACTTCACCGCTCTACGCAGTCACTAGACCCGCACGCTAAGCGCAAGCTGGGTCCCCGCTATGCTGGGCCGTTTCAGGTGTTGGAGCGCATCGGCCACGTCGCCCACCGCCTTCAGCTGCCACCGGGTGCTCGCATCCACGACACCTTCCATGTGGGCTTGTTGAAGCCTTTCCGCGGCGAGCCACCGGCGGCCACGCTGGATCTGCCTCCGACCTCCGAGGGTTGTCTACTTCCCGATCCAGCGAAGGTTTTGAAGGCCCAGCAGAGCCGGGGTGCGTGGCGCTTGCTGATTCAGTGGCAGGGATTTTCGAAGGAGGACACCACTTGGGAGCACCTCGACGAGCTCCGCCAGTACTTTCCCGACTTTCAGCTCGAGGACGAGCTGTTTCCGCAGATGGGGAGAGATGTTATGACCGGCATACATTATAGCCGAAGAAGGCCTCATGGCGCAGGCACTTAGGGGCCCGGCCCAACTTATCTTATCGTGTTAGGGGCTTAGCCCAATTATATCATTAGGAGGATTATATAAACTCATGTAAGGACCTGTTTTGACATTAAGCAGAAGCAATCATATTTGCTCGGCTTCTGAAGGGAGCCACGAGACCTAACCCTAGTCACCGCCCCTGCGCCCTCTCTCTCGCGCGCGCGTGACGACGGCGCCTCAGCGCCGGCGGCCTCGCCTTCCTCCACGCCAAACCCCCTTCCACCCCTACAACCTACGAGCTAGACCTGGTAGGATCCCAGCTCCTATCAGCATATGTAATTCATCTGGAATTAATCTTTAAATTCCCATCGTAACACACAGGGAAATCACCTAGTTCTTAAAGTTTTCAAAGATATAATTTTGTCATATATATTACTGGCCTAATTGATTGTGAAAATTAAATTACAAAATATAAGAACGCAATGAAATGGCGTAAAAAGAATTGATGCGTTGCAAAAAGAAAATAAGAATGGCCAATTAAATAGATACTACTATAATTGCGATTATTATAAACGAACATAGCAGCAAGAGGGGGTAGGAAACCAGAAATAACGAATGTTTGAGACAAAATGTACTAGCGCTTCAGGATTACACGCAATACCGGAAACATATCTGATTACCAGAACAAGACATGTGTTAACATTGTGCTCCTCGTAATATTTACTGTTTGTAAATAGTACAATGTATACAGTTCTCAACATTTCATATATCACAGCTTTACAGGTTACATTTCTACCCCTTTCGCAAACAGAATTCTGCTAGCATGCAAAACTTGCAAGCTCGAATTAAACCAAAACGCATTCACTTTTGTAAAAAAATGTTACCAAATTTACATTACGCAAGTCAATAGCGAGATGTGGTCCGGCACTTCAGGGTTCGCAGGAGCAGATTCCTCCAGCTATATTTCTTTCTGTTGCAAACTTATGCAATGCTGCAACTGACCAGCTCTCAACATATGCATGAACGGAATGGTTGCAATGAGATAATTTTCACAAACATTCTCAGCATCCTCATTCCACACAGGGAAGATGGTGCCACATCATAAAGAACAAAGGACTTCCACCTGGACTTTTCTTATAGCCAATTGCTTGTGATCGATTGTTATGTGTTAGGGTTTGCCATTTGGGCTCTAAAACAACTGGAAGAAGAGACTTGTAGAACCATCACCAAATGACCGAATGTCAGCAGGCTTTACCAATGCTCTACACAAAGGGCAAGTTCGTTCTCGCTCAAACCTAGAACAGAAACAGAATAAAACTATCATTAGTTGAAATTTCCAGATGTGGATAAAGGTAAAATTAAGGCATAAACATATACATTGAAACACGGTACTGAAAAGAAGAAAAGAAAATCCCATTGCACTCCTAATTATACAAAATCAATAGAACATCTGCACTGCCATGAAAAGGTCTTGCTCATATGAGCTCTAGAACCCCTGGTCGTACTAAGAGTTACAATGTGGTTCATTATCCTGTAAACCATACCCCTTGCAAGTTCATTCAAGCGCAACAAATATGCAAGAACACATTGCCAAATGTAAAGAAAATGCAAGAATCAATTGTACAACAAACTAGATGCATTACGCATTCAACCAACAAAATAAAGCACAATAAAAGAACATATAAGAAGAGAAAGTTACCATTCAGAGACACAGTCCTCGCAGAAAATATGTTTACAGCGAAGGAGAACAGGAACGTGCATCTTTTCCTGGCAGATGGCACACATATCACCGGCAGCAATTGCCTGCAGTGAGTTCCACCAACACACAGATACATTAGCAATCGGAAGATTCTTAGCTCCTAACTGAAATGGTAAAACAGACAGAACTAATCTTATCCATATTCACTAGATTGTGGACAACTGACAACTTATATACTGGAGTAGAAGGTAAATAACAAAATAATAATGCGATGTAGTCATCTTTAAATAATATAAGAAGAGCAACACAGAATTAGAAACTTCCTCAGGTTAGTATGCAATTAAAAATAAACCAGAGTTAAGTGACACTGAAACTCCTGTTAGCAATCGTTTTTAACTCCACAAAGGAGACAGAAAAAAAAAACTAATCACAACAAGCAAGAATTGGGTTAATTCGATATACGACACTGCCAACTTCGCATATTCGAAAAACGCCATTGCAAAAGACGACTTGTAAGAAGCGTGCCAACATAGTTGAAGGCAGGGAGTTGTCGACATTATTCTCAGAACCATAGTATCCTCAATGTAATGAGTATTCACAGCATACTGCATTTTTAGTTCAGGCACTTGAGAACAAATGATATTTTCACCTGTTCTGCTGTCGCATAAGACCCATAGTGCACATCTTTACGTGACAATGCTTTCACTGCAGATAAGAATGATTGAACCTGGAGGACACATGGCCAAAAATGAGAAGATGGTAAAAATGTCACATGCACAAGACATGTTTTTATGGTTTTGACCAACTGCATCAGCATGCAAAATGCAATAAGCAAGAAGCAAAAGTACCTTCTCAACTACCGAAGTCAACTTGAAAGTCAGGTATAGCCCAGTAGTTAAAGATGAGAACAGACTCCCATATTCCTTGTTCAGAAAGAAACGGTACCAAACAGGAGTCGGCAATAAAGCACGATATAGAAGCAGAAGGTACTCCACAAGTGTTAGCATTTGTCCCTAAAATAAGAATAGGAAAATCCTCAGAACCAGGTAAAGGCCCATCAGTACTTAAACAAAGGATCAAAGGAAGTTGCAAGCTTCTAATAACAGAGAGAATTTACACAAAAACTTAACTAGCATTCAAGATATGGCTCGTCCCATAGCACCAAAATCACAATGATTGAAAATCCAATATTTGGAAGCATTATCCCATTTATGCATGAATGAAGCCCCCATAACCAGTTGTTCTAAACATGAAAGTTGGTCCATGTTACTCTTACTCCAGAACAAATAGCGGATGAAGCCAACAGCAGAATAACAAATGATGAATTTTCAACATTATTCAATAAGCGGCATACCGTCAGAAACTTGTGAGAGATGCTTGCAATTATTCCTAGGTGTGAGAATGTTAAAAACTACTCCCTCCGTCCCATAATATAAGAGCGTTTTTTACACTAGTGTAGTGTAAAAAACGCTCTTATATTATGGGACGGACACTAGTGTAAAAAACGCTCTTATATTATGGGACGGAGGGAGTATCTGCTACTAAAATTTGCATATTGTGAGAACACATGAAGCATTCAGCAGCTGCGCACACTAATTCAGTAGAGATTTTTGGTACTCCCTCCGGGGGGATTGTAAGTCGGCAGGACCATGGCTCCGCGATCAAGATGCGTATAAATATCCTCCCTAACTGAATCAGAATTTAGCGGTTCATTGCCATCATTATTGCACGCTTGTTGGCCTCCCCATGCAGCCCTATCATCAAGTAGAAACCGAAGCATGCATTGGCTAGACGTTCTACAAGGGCTGGAAAGGAGGGCATACAGGCCAGAAATGAGGGCATGCAGTTTGGCCCTTACAATTAATTAGGCACCCGACTTCAATGATTACGAGTATAACGACTAGTTAGACTAGTCTAGTAGTCTCAATCTGATTGTCGACTAACTTCTTCGTATAGACTAGTCTGTTGAGCCGAACAGTGGAGCAACTAGTCTAGACTAATCTGGGTGTTTGAGTCAATCGACTCGATTTGGGAGGGATAAGTGAGAGCTTAGCCCACGGGAGAGAAAATATTGTAGCCCTAGCTTTCCAGGCTCGCTCCACAACGAGCCACCGCACCTGGGACTAGGCCGCCGGCACCGCTGCCACCCACCACCGCCACCAGCAGTGGCCAGGAGCATTACAACGCTCTCCTTCCGCTGGTTCGGCTCCTCCCCTGGATCCACCCCTCTGCTGTTGTGCTCCTCCCCTGGCTGTTCTCCTATGCTGTTGTGATCCTCCTCTGAATCAACTCAAATTTTATTGTATATTGTACTGTAATATATACTAGTATATAATACTTCCTCTGTATATATGTTTACAGAGGGAGTACATACTAGGTATTAGTAGTTGAGTACTACAGTACCATGTCGACTAGTTCAGCAGTAGTCTAGACTAGTCATGATTAGTCTATGAGTCTCAACCTCGGCTCGACTTGTCGACTCGCAATTCTTGCCCGACTTGCACTTCAGGAATATCTGGGGATGACCAGCCGACTAAAATACCAGTACAGAGGGAGTAGTATCTGAGGGAAGACCAGTACTATTATGGACATGGACAAAATTTCTCTTACAACAAAGATTGTGCAGTTTGGGGACAGAAGGGAATTTCATGCCAACAGTATAGCTTCACGCTCCATGGCGCGTAACTGTTATGACCGGGCAGACTTATGCCCGTAGGAGGCCCACCGGGCAGGCTTAGTTAGGGGCTTAGCCCACAAGTTATCTTAGTTTTATTTCACATCGTGGTTATATAAACAAGTTGTAAGACTCTTTTGAGAATTAAGCAATAAGACAATTCTATTGCCCGGCTCCCAAAGAAGCCGGAAACCCTAAGCCCTAGCCGCCTCCTGCTTCCGCCGCCGCCGCACCAGCCGCAAGGACAGCGCCCTGCCGCCGGCCGCCGCGCACCAGGCCTCGCCTTCTCCCTCCTTCCCCTACAGGCTACGCCCTAGACCCGGAAGAACCCTAGCTCCTACCACCTTGGTATCAGGTAGCTCGGTTTCGACCATGTCGGCACCACCACCAATCCCGCCGCTGCCCACCACCACCGCACCGCCGCCGATCCTCTACACCGCGCCGCTGGCCCTCCCCGCCGCACCGCTGGGCTCCACCGGCCAATCTCCGCCCCCCTCCACGGGTCTGCCGCCATCAACCGCCACCGCACCGCTGGTCTACTCCCTGAAGGCGATGACCAGCGTCCTCAACGACCTCGCCACCGCCGTCCAGGGCATCCGGCTGTTCTTGGCCAGTCCGTACGGGCCGCCGCCACCTCTGCCGCCGGCCGCCTCCTCCGGACCGCCCGCCCTGCCCTGGTACTCGGTACCCGCGGCACTCGCCGGGGCCTAGCCGTCGCTCCAGCAGCCGCCCGCCACCGCGCCACAATGGCCGCAGTGGCCGGCGCCGGCCCTCGCCGCGCCCCCCGCGCCGGTCCAGCAGCAGCCGACGCTGCCGGCACCTCCGGCCCCGGGCAGTCCGCGCCGGGAGGCCTCCCCATCCAGCACGTCCGCTTCCCGCCGTCGCCATCCCCGATTCCGGCCTGGTGACCGCGACGTTACCGCTACCGGTCTACACGGAGGCCGGGGAACCGCCGGTACCCACGCTGCAGTACGACGAGCCGTTCGGTTCCGCAGGTCCCTACGCCGGCCGCTCCACCATCAACCGAGCGCCGTCATCCTCGCTGCTCCGCACCGCCGAGCCAGTCGGCCAGGGCGCTCCGACCCAGACGCCACCACGGTTCGCCAAGATTGACTTCGCCACATATGACGGCACGGAGGACCCCCTCAACTGGCTCAACCAGTGCGAGCAATTCTTTCGGGGACAGCGCACACTCGCGTCGGATCGCACCTGGCTCGCTTCTTACCACCTCCGCGGAGCGGCCCAGACGTGGTACTACGCCCTCGAGCAGGACGAGGGCGGCATGCCCCCGTGGGAGCGCTTTCGCGAGTTGTGCCTCCTTCGTTTTGGGCCACCGATCCGCGGAAGCCGCCTACCCTTCACCTCCACGGTGCAGGATTTCGCCGACCGCTTCCAAGCCCTGGCGTGTCATGCACTAAGTGTGACGGCACTTCAGCGGGCCGAACTCTTCGTGGGCGGCCTCCCAGACCACATCCGCGTGGACGTCGAGCTACGGGGGGCCCAGGACCTCCAAACGGCCATGTACTATGCTCGGGCCTTCGAGCGTCGCGCCCAGGCCTTGCAGCAGGCGACACCGACTCGAGGGGGCCGGCAGCTCCCCCCCCCCGCAACACCTGCACCTCCGGTCGCTCCACCAGCAGCCGCCCCGGCCGCGACGCGGCCTTTTCGTCGGCTCTCTCAGGCGGAGCAGCTCGAGCGCCGCCGCCTGGGACTCTGCTTTAACTGCGATACGCCCTACGCGTCGGGCCATGTCTGCCCGCGCCTCTTCTACTTGGAGACGGCCGACTATGTCAAGGAGGACACACCCGTCGACGGGTTCAGCGACCCCGCCGCGGCAGAGCCCGCGCCTGCGCCCGCTCCGGCGACGGCACTCGTTGTCTCGCTCCATGCGCTGGCCGGCATCAGCGACGAGCGGACTATGCTCTTACCGGTGACGATTCACGGTGAGCGCCTGGTGGCCCTCCTGGATACGGGCTCCACCCACAACTTCCTGCCTGAGGCTACGATGCGGCGCTTAGCACTTTAGCCGACAGGCGGGGAGCAACTTCGGGTCACCATGGCTAACGGCGACCGCCTACGGTGCCATGGGCTTGCACGGGACGTGCCCATCACTATCTGCGACGAGCACTTCACCATCACATGCGCCGGCATCGACTTGAGCTGCTTCGACTTCATCCTTGGCGTCGACTTTTTGCGGACTCTCGGACCCATCCTCTGGGACTTCGACGCTTTGACGATGACCTTCTAGCGTCTCGACCGCCGCGTCCGGTCGGAGGGCATTGGCGGCGCCTCACCAGTGACGCCCCAGCTCCAGGTGGCCGCGGCCACCTCTGAGGCCGAGCATCCTTTGTTGGACCACCTTCTGCAGCAGCACCGCGACCTCTTCGACGAGCCGCGAGGCCTTCCGCCGGCTCGGGTCTACGGCCACCGCATTCACCTGCTGTCGGGCTTGGCACTGACGGCAGTCCGACCCTACCGGTATCCTCAGCTACAGAAGGACGAGCTGGAGCGGCAGTGCGCGCTCATGCTCGCCGTGGGCATCATCCCGATCTCCACATCACCGTTATGACCGGGCAGACTTATGCCCGTAGGAGGCCCACCGGGCAGGCTTAGTTAGGGGCTTAGCCCACAAGTTATCTTAGTTTTATTTCACATTGTGGTTATATAAACAAGTTGTAAGACTCTTTTGAGAATTAAGCAATAAGACAATTCTATTGCCCGGCTCCCAGAGGAGCCGGAAACACTAAGCCCTAGCCGCCTCCTGCTTCCGCCGCCGCCGCACCAGCCGCAAGGACGGCGCCCTGCCGCCGGCCACCGCGCACCAGCCCTCGCCTTCCTCCCTCCTTCCCCTACAGGCTACGCCCTAGACCCGGAAGAACCCTAGCTCCTACCAGTAACACTACACACAGGATTTGTTTTATTTTATTTTTGCAGAAAACTACACACAGGATGTTATAAATATGATGACTAAAAGAGCATGACTAAATAAGAAGTTTAAGTACACAGACACACAAGAGATTTATCACCTGCCTACGGTAGTTACGGCCTCTGCTGTTCTTGTAGTACATAAGTAGCATGCACTTGACGGTCATCGCTGCCTGGCGTACCATTGTATCTGCAGGTAATTCTTGTTTATGAATGTGGATGCAGAAGAACCAACTATGCTAATAGCTATGAAGAGTTCCTTTTGGCTGAAGGAAAAATATGAGTTGCCAATAAGTGTAGTCTTCTCAAACTCCACAATGAAATTGTTGGACACAATCAAGTTAATGCTGTATTTCTAGCATTCCCAGATTTCTGGTGCAGATAAATACTGAAATAAGTTTTCCAGCATACTTATTTTTCTTTTGTGTATTTTACTGAAACTTTTTACAATTGCTGTGAAGGTGAATATCAATCGAGAGAAGTTGACAAACTCAAAGGAATGAAGGCACAACAAGAGCATTATTTCTGTTGTACCACGTAAAGTTCTAACAAGCTAACGGGACAAAACAACAATGCTAACTCCAATTATACATCTTCTATTCTTAAATAGTTGCAACCCACTAACTATTTTTCCTAAGCATGCAAGGCTTCCAAATCAACGAACAACACATGTTCGCCATGTCATTAGTCTACTATCCCACTAACTATTTCTTTTCCATGCATGTAAGCCTTTCACATCAGCCAATTATGCATGGCTGCCAAATCATTTGCCTCACATCATAATTAATCTTCTATTTTTAAATAGCTGCCCACTACCTATTTTTCCTAGCTATGTAACCATGCCACATAAACAACTAATGCATGCAAGCCACAAATTACTTTTTTTTGCATTACTCTATGTATGCAATGATACCACAACATCAATTTGTGCATGTTAGTCGTAAGTTATTTTGTTGCATTAGAGTTCACTCACCTTTCACAGTTTGTTAGAAATGACATTCTTTTAACTCCAATTCATTTTTTCCTCCTTTTATAGGTTTGTATTTTTAATTGTCTTTAAGCTTACATTTGCTTTCCATTAGTTTTAGACCCTGTTTGTTTGGGCTTTTGCTTCTACTTTTGCAGCTTTTCCACTTTGGCCAAAAAGCCATAAAAGCTCCTAAATAGGTGCTTTTGGAGCTTTTTTGGCTTTTGATGAATCAATATAACAATACGGAGCTCCAAAAGCCAGAAAAGCTCCAAAAGCACCTATTTAAGAGCTTCTATGGCTTTTTGGGCAAAGTGAAAAAGCTGCGAAAGCAAAAGCCCAAACAAACAGGGCCTTGGATGTTTTCGTAGCAATTATTTATTTACCTTTTAGCAAGGTTCCCGCAGCAACGCGCAGGGCATCATCTAGTTTATACTATATTAGTAGCCAGTCAAAGTTTTTTTTTTGAGAAAACGCAAAACCTTTGCGTTTCATTGTATTGAAAAGGAGTTTGGTACAATCCTCCTAGGAGGCCAGTTACAAGGCAAGTACAGGAACATTAGTGAACATCCCAGGTTTGTGGTAGGATGACGCGGAGGCCTATGGCCCCAGCTCTGGCCCAAAGTGCAGCCTCGGCCTTTGATCGAAGCGATCAGTGAGGTGAGCAAAGGGCGAGCCCCCTCGAAGAGCAGCCATTGCGATGCTTCCAAATCATCCATGGCACGAGCAGGGCAGTGGAAGCAAGACACATAGGCTTGGGCGTGTTCTGTCTTGCCGATTGCCACCAATCGTGGAGTGTGGCGTCGTTGTCGGGCGGCGGGCGGACAAGGGAGGCGCAGCCATGAGAGGATCGCGTGCCACACCTGTCTAGCGAAGGGGCATCCCAGGAGAAGGTGATGTAGCGTCTCCAGGACCTGCTCGCAAAAAAGCGGACAACATGGTGGGTGTGGCAGGTTGCGGCGCGCGAGGCGGTCAGTAGTGCAGCAGCGGTCAAGGTATGCAAGCCAGTGGAAGAAACGCACCCGTGGCGACACCCAACACTTCCAAGTTAGCCTCCAAGCCTAGCAATGGGTGGAGCCGTGGAAGGTGGCGAGGTATGCGGACTTGGCAGAGTACACTCCATTCGCAGTCCACTTCTAGCGTAGGCCGTCCGGCGCATTGCTAAGGTTGGTTTGGGCAATCAGGTGCCGAAGGCAGAGGTATTCGTCAATCTCCGGGATGCCAATCGAGCCATGGATGTCGGTAGCCCATTGGTTTTCATGTAGGCCGTCGGCGACTGTTCTAGACTTGCGGCGTCGTTTGGGGATGCAAGCGTAGAGGAGAGGCGCGATCTCACTGGCGGCGCGGCCGTTAATCCACCAGTCTTCCCAAAAGAGGGCGCTCAGGCCGTTCCCTATCGTCGTTGTTGTGGACACGAAGAAGAACGCACATTCCTCGGGCGAGAACTGCAGGTCAAGGCCGTTCCAGGCCCTCCTGTCGCCGACGCGGCTGAGCCATAGCCAGCGCGGCGCAGGGCAAGTCTGGTACGCTCGAGGTCGTGCACGCCAAGGCCGCCAAGCGGGATTGGCCGACAGACGCGCCGCCAGTTAACATGGCAGTTGCCCCATTGGCCTCAACACGGCCTGCCCAGAGGAATCCTCTCTCGATTTTTTTCTAGTAGTTTGAGGGTCTTTTTTGGCGGCGCGAGCACAAGGAGCTGGTGGATGGGGATCGCCTCGGGACGGCTTTGACGAAGGCCAGGCGGCCAGCCTTGTTCATGAGCCAAGCCTTCCAGGAGGGCAGCTTCCCGGCCACTTTGTCGACGACAGGCTGGAGCTGGGCGGTGGTAGGGCAACGCAGTGTGAGTGGGATGCCCAAATAGGTGATCAGGAAATCAACGATGGGGCACCCAAGGTGCTCGACGACATGGGCATCATCTTCGATGTCGCATCGGATCAGAGCCGCGACACTCTTCCGGAAGTTCACCTGGAGTCCAGATGCGCGCCCAAAAAGGTGCAAGATTTCCTTCACCGCCGTGATGTCGCCAGGCGAGGGGTGGCAGAGGGGGATTACATCATCTGCTTATAGGGAGATGGCTGGTATGGCGCGACAAGGGTGGAGCTGTTGCATGACGCGAAGCCCGATGGCGCAGTGGAAGAGCCTGCCCAATACAGCCAAGACGAAGAGCTTTGGGGACACGGGGTCGCCTTGACGCATCCCACATCTGTGCCAGATCGCAGGTCCTGGGGCACCGTTTAGGAGAATCTTGGTGCTGGCCGACGACAAGAGAAGGGCGATCCAGTCAAGGAAGCGGTTGCCGAAGCCGTGGCACCGCAGTACGTCGAACAGGAACGACCACGAGATGGAGTCGAAGGCGCGCGCCAAGTCGAGCTTGAGTAGCACGCGTGGGGCGCCAAGTTGGTGTAGGAGTCGCACGGACTGATGCACCAGGATGAAATTGTCATGGAGGCTACATCCGAGGATGAAGGCATTCTGGACGTTGCTGAAAAGGCCATTGAGCTTGGGCGCGAGGCAGAGTGACAGCAGTTTGGCGAGGATCTTGACGACAAGATGGATGAGACTTATGGGCCTGTAGTCGCCAAGGCTGCTAGCATCAGCGCGCTTAGGGAGAAGCGTGATTAGCGCCTGGTTAAGGCAGCTAAAGCCTCGTCCGCGGAGCGCGTATACTTGCTCAAAGACGTTCAGGAGGTCCTGCTTGATGATGGGCTAGCTGGAACGGAGGAATTCCATGGTGAATCCGTCAGGGCTGGGTGCCTTGCGCGACGGCAAGCGCTTGATAGCTTGCCAGATCTCATCCTCGCTGAAGGGCGCGTCAAGGTCATCCAGGCATGAGGGCTCAATGAGCCGTGACAAGTCGATGGTGCAATCCCGAGGCACGTCAGCCCCAATCAAGGTGTCAAAGTGCTCAAAGGTCGCCGCTGCCATGTCGCAAGGGTCGGTGAGCACGGCGCCATCAACCGTGAGGGAATGGATCCAGTTCTTCTGCTTGCAGTAGGTACACTGACGATGGTAGAACGATGTGTTCACGTCGCCGTCTTTAAGAGACGCGATGCGCGCGCGCTGACGGGCGATCGTACGCTCGAGGGAGGCAAGGCCCAAGTAGGAGAGGTTTATCTGGTGACGTAGCCAGTCTTCATGCGGCGATAGCATCCTATGCTCCTGCGCGGCGTCAAAGCGGAGCAGCTCACGGGAGATCGCAAGTTGGTCGCGCACGTTGCCAACCGAGCGCGCGCTCCGGCTGGTGAGCTTGCGCGCGATGGCATGCATGCGTCGCATGAAGCACCGGAAAGGGTCAGCATCCTCCAGCGAGTTCCATGGGCTTGCCACAACCTCTTGGAAACCGGCGAGACACGTCCAATACTCCTCGAAGTGGAAGCGTCGATGCACCGAAGGCATTGGCGAGCAGTCAAGCATGAGGGAGTGGTCCGAGACAACCGTGGCCAAACAGCGTAGGTGGCATTCGTCGTGTAGCTCCTCCCAGTCCGCGGAGCACATCACCCGATCGAGATGGACCAAGGTAGGCGGGTTCTGCTCGTTCGACCAAGCATAGCGCCGGCCTTTGAGGTAGACCTCCTTGAGCGCGAGGTTGTTGAGCACACGCCGAAATCCCCATCATGCGTCTGTTGAGGTTGTCGTTGTTCTTATCCTCATCGCGGTAGATTAGGTTGAAGTCGCCGTAGACGAGCCATGGTCCGGAGCAGGCGGCACGCATGTCGCGGATTTCCTGAAGGAACGCAATCTTGCCATGGTCATCTTGGGGCCCGTAGAAAATGGTGAGCCAACAGGGCGCGCTGGAGCCATCGGGAGTCGCCAACCGGGCGGAGAGAGTGTTGGTGGTGAACATCGTGTCCGTGATCGACACATCCCGGCTCTTCCAAGCCAACAAGATCCCGCCATGGGTGCCGCTCGCAGGGAGGTAGACGTAGTCGTCAAACTCTGACCCCAACATCTCGAGGATCGTTGACGAGTAGATAAACTCCATCTTTATTCCCTGGAAGCAAGCGATCGTAGCGCTGGAGGCTACAAGTGAGCGGATGGCAGTACGCCTGGCGCGGGTGTTTAGGCCGCGGACGTTCCAGTTAATGATTCGGAGGCTGTGATCCATTGGATAAAGGTCAACGGTTGGGCACGCAGCAGAGCGGCTATGTCACGATCAGGCTGCCAGTGATCACCGTGGTGATCGGCGCCGTGGATGGATCAGATGGCAGATCGCGGCCGATGGCGCGGCGATGGCCACCGACGGCATGCGGGAGGAGCGCGGCAAAAACCCCATCATAGGCCTTCATGGCTTCGGCGAAGATCACCTGGTCGATGTCGATAATGCCCAAGGTGCACAGAAGCTGGACTTGTGCATAGCGCTCGGCGGTAGGTGGGGCACTAGTCTTTGCTTCTCGGTGGTGGCGGAGCATCCATGTTGCGGACAGAAGTTCAGGGGCTGCAGGCGTTGTCTATGTCCTGGATAGGGGAGGGCAGAGCAGGTTTGCTTTGTGGCGGCAGCAGGGATGTCTCCCAAGGTCCAGGAGCTGGCGGGGTTGACGCGCTGGCGGGATCAACGCAAGGTGACTGGCGGCAAGGCGAAACGTGCAGCGTTGCCCAGGTGCGGTGTGTGGGATGTTGGGGTTGGAGCAGGCAACGATGGGCCTGTGGAGGCGGGCCCGTCAACATAGCAGCCTGTGGGCTGGAGCCTCTGCAGAAGGCGCCTAGGTTCCTAGGCCAAGGGGGAAAGGCGGCCCGTTTCGAGGGCATCGTTGGCGGCCGCAGAGGTCGAGTGGGCGGCATTTTGAATTTCCAGCGCGCTTTCCCATGGCGCACAAGTGGGGCTGGATCGCAGGTCAGCCTGGTCCGCAACAGCAGCAAGGGCTGACGAGGGCAAAGCACTGCTTTGTCCCGACAGCGGATCAGCATCTGCGGCGGTTGGGCGCTCCTCTGGAAGCGAATCTAGGACCTCACTGGTGGAGGACAGGTCGTCCTGATCCCCAAGCGCGTGTGGACTGGTCGTTGGTGGCCCTGCCCTGGTTGGGTTGCCCCCCTACGCGCACGGCGACACGTGAGACTAGCTCTGAGCGGGCCCGACAACAAGAAGGTTGTGGTTTGGCACCAATGGGCTGGGGCTAGCTAGCAAGTTGGCAGGCACCAGCGCTGAGTGGGCGTCACGGTCGGCCTCGGATCCGCCACGGCTGCAGCTTTTGCAAGCACGGCGTGAGTCCTTGCACGCTTTTTCTTCCCCCTCACTTTCCTCTTTTGGCTCTGCGACGAGGGAGGCGGCCCCCCTCCTGAGTGGGCCATGCATCCATGCATCTCGCAGACCCCTGTACGGGTTGTGGCGCAAGCGCAGTCATGGCAGCGCGGGATGCAGGCCAGCCGCAGTCAACCGCCACACCGTCGTCGCGTTGGCAACTGTTGGAGCGTGTCCAGCCCGCCGAGTCGACCGCCATGCCGTCCGCGCGTCCGCCGGGTGCGGTGGCCGTGCGGCAGCGCTTCCAGCCACGCCATCGTTGATGACCGCGCCCGGGGCCATGGACCGCGGAATCTTTTGCCGTTGCCGTTAGTGTTGCCGCCACAGTGGCGGCTCCATCAGCAGGGAGGGGTTCAGACCTGGTGAGCCAGAGGGAGAGCGGTACTCAAGGGTGCGGACAACAAGGGGCAGACCGGGGCGGGGTGCGGGGACTTGCTCCACAATCTCCAAGATGGCCGCCTGGCGAATGGTGGCCGGGTCTCGCACACACCCAGCGAGCCGGGACGTGGCGAGGTCAGCGCAGGAGCGCGTATCCGGATGTAGCCGCTCAATCCGGCAGCCAGCCCCCAGAATGTGCTCAACGATGGACAAATGCCATGCCTGCGTTGGGATGCCGCGGAGCTCGAGCTGCACAGAATACACAAAGCTTCCAGCGGTGGGGTGGGCGAGCTTGCACCATGGGCGGAGGAGCAGGGTGAAGTTGTCGGCATTGATGAGATGGTCGCCGGCCATACTGTCCATAATCTGCCATGAGGAGAAGATGAGGAAATCTTCCAGGGCATGTAGGTGCATGGTGAAGTCACTAGGCTGCAGGTCAAACATGGTGTGCAGGGTTGTCTCCACCTTGGCCGGGGAGATGGAAGGCCTGGTGCCAGTGATGGTGGCCCCCATGCCGTGGGTCAGCACCTCTTCCGCCTCCATCTCGATGGAACGGGGGATGGTGACCCGCGCCGGCACGACGGGGGCGGCGGGGGTGGGGCCGGAGGCGGGGCGTATCGCGGCGGAGTCACGCGCGGGCGCTGAAGGGCGGCGGCGGGGCCGGTCTGAGGCAGCGCCGCGGCGGTCACCGGGCAGGAGCGTTTCGCGGCCGCTGGACTCGTGGCCGGAGATGAGGCAGCGGCGGCAACGCACGGGGTTGGTGCAGTCCCGCACCCGGTGCCGCGTATCAAGACATCGGAAGCAGGGCCCAGCGACTTCTTCGGGGAAGGGACTGCGACGGCGGAGTGGGGGGTTGGGGCGGCCGGGCGCCGCTCGTGCTGGCGGCGGTTCCTGTGTCGCGGCTGCTGAAAGCCTTCGACGTCCAGCACGAGTCCTCCATTGACGTGGTGGACCTCCGAGCGAGGGCCCAGGCGAGCAGAGGCGGGGACGCAAGCGGCCGGCGCGGTCGAGCGGTGGGGCACCAGGGCCGCGGGTGCGGGGGCAGGGCTTGGCGCGGACAGCGTGGGGCTACGCGGGGTCGGCGTGGTTCTCACGATGTCGCGGAAGGACCGCGAGCCGGAGGACTCACCCGCATAACCGTGTCAGCGGATGCGGCCGTCGGGGCTAGAGATGCATCCGTCGGGGCTGGAGTCCCCGAAGTAGGTGCCGGCGGAAGGCATGGCCGCGGGGGCGGGCACGGGTGGGGAGGGCGACAGCAGGAGAGGAGGGCTACCGGAGAGGGTTCGACGGCGGCGAGGCTGGTGGAGGAGCTTAGGCTAGGAGCGGGGGAAGGGAGGAGAGCGGAGCGGAGTCATCCTCTCAAAATGCTATTGTTCCTGTTCGTCAGTCTAGCGAGTCAAAGTAACAAGCTGAATAAGTCAATTCGCAGTTCCAAAATGAAATTACCTAGAATAAATAAGAAATATAAAAATGATTCAGACAGGACAGAAGAGCCAACAACTCAAGGAAGACAATTCTATGCAGCTCGGACAAGATTCAGCTATTGTACACTAGATATCATTGTGAATATGTGAGAACAAATTTTACAAGTGTTTCAGGCAGTAGCAATACCGTTGACCATGATGATAAAAATTGCATGCCAGAATGGTGGTATATCTTTTGGAGGAACCATGAACAGAGGTCTAAGAAGATAATCGTTCCTGTACCACCAATAGACGCCAAACACATGGACCATGAAGATTATGGTGATTCCAACAAGCATAGCAACTTTTCTCTCGCCCTGTAAAAGAGTTAAAATAAGAGTTAGGTATATCAAGATGCTGACACTGGCAAATGTTTTCATGATCTAGCTAATGGGTTTCCAACATGTTTGACCACAAAATGTATAGCACAATCCGAGCCACATGCTATTTGATGACCTAATGTAATGGCAAAAATATAAATCAACATCAACTGCATTAAAATCTTCATTTCTTCTAAAAATTTCCACACTAAACAGAGGATAAAAGGGAGGCCATTATGACTAAAAGCTCTCGAGAGTCTACATAGTTAAAAAAAAGGCACACCTAGGCGGGCGTTTAAGTGCACCAAAGGCTCTAGGCAATAGCAAAACGCCTAGCGCTTAATCTGCGTGTAAGCGTGTGCTTTGATCAGAAAAGCACAAAGCAGTTGCAAAATGCACAATTAACGCCTAGACTTTTTTTAACTACAAGAGTTTATGAATGATGGCCTCAGGAAATTCATTATTTGAAAATGTGTTTATGTTCATGAAGCTAGTAACAAAGACCATCAGTGGAACCTCGCTTTATTTCAGACAGTCATCATGGTCCATTCAAATTCATGAGGATGACAGAAAGGAAGGACTGTCTTAGTAGACTTCCACATATTTCATACTAGAACTGAGTTTCTTATGATATGCTAAATTTGGTATATATACTATCATATAATATCATACCTTCAAAGCAGTTTGCTTCTTCAATATATCATTTGACTTGAACATTACAGCAGCAATCCAAATTGTGACAAAGAAACCTGCAGATCAATCCTTGCATTATTGTGGATGCAAATTGCACCATTGCCAAAAAGGCAACAGGAATATACTCCCTCTGTTCCAAAATAGATGACCCAACTTTGTACTAACTTTAGTACAAAGTTAGTACAAAGTTGGGTCATCTATTTTGGAACGGAAGGAGTACAACTGAAGCAGGAAATTTACATCCAACTTAGTATGATTCTTACAACTTTCCTAGTAGAAAAAATAGATTTGTTGTCCTTACGTTACTAGTAAATGCGCACGTGCAACGCACGTTAATATTTAGGCAATATATTAATTGCACGCGGATATTAGGTGTGCTATTATTTGTGTGTTAATTCTGTGATTAGTGCAATATTTGGTATGATATTAATTGCACGTTAAACACTACTAAAGTTAGTACAAAGTTGGGTCATCTATTTTGGAACGGAGGGAGTACAACTGAAGCAGGAAATTTACATCCAACTCAGTATGATTCTTACAACTTTCCTAGTAGAAAAAATAGATTTGTTGTCCTTACATTACTAGTAAATGCGCACGTGCAACGCACGTTAATATTTAGGCAATATATTAATTGCACACGGATATTAGGTGTGCTATTTGTGTGTTAATTCTGTGATTAGTGCAATATTTGGTATGATATTAATTGCACGTTAAACACGTTAAACGCTCGCCATTGGAGCAGTCTAGGTCATTGGATTGACTTAGTTTGATGGCCGAGATCAGTTGGATCTGCCCCTTTGGGTCTTTTTATATTGGTATAGATATAGATATAGATACGGGCAAAGGATTAATATAAATGGATAAGATAGAAATGAAAAGGACCCAACAAATGAAACTTTATATAGGAAAATGATAGCTACACCGCTATTAATGATACACAGATACAGAGCTTTGTTACATTTGTATCTAATTGAAGTAATGCATAAAGGCAGACTATTTTGGAAGACCTTAATTTTAACATATTGGCATAAATAAAATGCTAGCTCTAGGCCTCCAGATGCAGATCTCTTATTGTATGGAAAAAAGAAGGTTGGCATAGGCTCCCCTGCCAGAAAAATTAAATCCTAAGAGACTGTGCTAAATATACCAATCTTAAGTATAACTGCAAAACCATGAAAACATAAACACACCATACAAGAAAGTTCTAGTTATTCATAGGTGATGATATATTTCTTCAGTCATCACTTAAGGCAGGAAGAAAATGCATTTATTTGGAAGCATAGAAGACTGATTGGAATACTTCATCAACTAATCTCAAGCTCCACCAGATTGGGGGAAAAAAGCTCCTCCAGACAAGGAAAGAGAGGGATGGCTCTCAGCTAATAGAGGGGCGAGCCAGAACAATCTTTCTTTTTTTTTTTACGGGACAAGCCAGAACAATCTTTACTATCAAAGGGCAATTGGTAGCGTCACCTCCACCTCCTCCCCTGGTTTTTTTTCTCCCCGCGCCTCCTCCTCCACTTTGGTTTCCTTTTGGGTTTTGTTAATCTCAACAGATGCCGCACAAAATAAAAAACCAACATAAATATAGTAACTTGAAATAACCAAAATAAAATCAGTACTTTCCAAAACCACGTCATGCATTAACTCAATCAAATCAAATAAAATCAATTCTTACCAAATCTCAGCTCAATCAAAACTTTCTTTGCCTTCCCCTACCAATGCCCAAATCAAATCAAAACTTACCAAAACCTCAACTAACCAAAACTTTCCATGCCTTCCCCTACCCTTACTCAAATCAAATTAAATCTTATCAAAATCTATAATACGGTGAGTGTAAGGTATACGTCGGACATGATTGATGTTGAACCACTAGAATATTTATGCCCCTGTTGCAACGCATGGGAAATAGCTATAGTAAGTAATGAAAGCTAACTCCCAAGACCTGGCTATGAGTACATTCAGCATTGCATCTACGTCACTAAACGGTAAATAAAAACCATAATATCTCTCTTACCATGATGACCTAAAATTAACCAAAATAATACCCCGCAACATTAGAAAGTTGAATAGCTGCTGTGAAAAATGGAACTTTAACATGTTACATCATACTAAGATCTTGTATTTCTAACAAAAAAGTAACTAAATGATCCCCCATAACAACAAAAAGTCAAATGGACGCTATGACAAAACAGAATGCAACATATCACAACTTAAATCAAGCATGAATCATGAGAAATAAGTACTTGTACACCTAAAACAAGTTGTATTTTGCTTAGCATCCACATTAGAATGTACCAAAGCTATCGCAACCATTAATACAGCCTAACTATGTTCTTGTGGACTTGTGCCCTAAAAAGGCATCCATTTTGTTTGACAACATATTCTTGGGAGGTTACACAGCTCATGATCGTAACCACACTAAGACACAGAGCATGCCATTTCCGTAGAGAAAACATCTTTTAAACCGGGAGGGAAATGAGTATCAAACCTTGGAGATGCTGCCGAATGAAGACGACGAGCAACAGCAGCGAGAATGGTAGTATCTGCTCGATCCACCGAGCAACGTGGTGCACGTCGTAACGCTGATATGGGCGGTCCCCAGCCCCATTCCCCGTAGCACCGCCACTGCCACCGCCGCTTGCCTCCGCATCAGCACCGCTTCCCCTTCCCGCCACGGAGGCCGGGTCAAAGTTGGAGGAGGCGGCCACCTCAATCGAGTCCTGCGGCGAGGCACCTGTAGCCGTCGCGCTCGCCGTGTCAGGGTCGCCGGGGCCACCCTGGATCCGAATCGAGACCTCTCCATCCCCAGCAGCGGCGGCAGAAAGTAGCCCGTCAGCCTCAGACGACGATGAAGAGGAGGGTACCGCCTGCTGCACCGTCTGCGGGACGGGCCCGGAGGGGACAACGCCTGAGTACTCGAGGAGCGCGGCGAGCAGAGCCTGGAGAAGGCTGGAGGCGGAGAAATTGAGACCGTAGCGGCTGAGGCCAGAAGCCGCAGCACCGGCGGAGGCGCCAGACCCGGTTACCCGGCGATCGGCGGAACCTCCCGCCGGTGTCTCCATAACCGGCGGCGGAAACCTAGAAAGGCGAAGCCGACGGCGCACGCGGAGGCGGAGGCAGAGACCCTGAAATGGGAAGTTCGGGAGATCCCCACTTTGCTTGGGTTGTTTACATTGCTTTTATTTTCCTTTTTGGCCTTTCGTCGAGGCGCCCCTCCCCTCCTTGTGTGCTTTAATTTGTTTTCAGAAATCGAACCTGTGGATTTTGTGCTAACGACCAGTCCTTGTGTGCTTTAATTTGTTTTCAGAAATCGAACCTGTGGATTTTGTGCTAACGACCAGTGGACTGGTCGTTAGCGAAAGATCCGCACGACCGTAGCTTCCTCTCGCGAGCACGCTCGATTCCACCGATTTTTCTTCTTCTCTCAAAAACCGTATACGCCAATAGTAAATTGCTAGTGGTTTTTCTTCTTCTCTCAAAAACCGTATACGCCAATAGTAAATCGCTACTGGTTTTTCTGGTTTTTTGGCTACTCCCTCCTTCCATCTATATAGGGCCTAATGCGTTTTTTAAGACCACCTTTGACTATTGACAAGATTAATAATACATGACATGCACAATGTGAAAATTATATCATTAAAAGCTCCTTTCACACACGAATTTAACGATGTGCTTTGTGTAAGTTGCATGTCATATATTATTGCTCTAATATTTGGTCAAAGTTAGCCTCGAAAAATGCATTAGGCCCTATATAGATGGAAGGAGGGAGTACATAATATGAAAAGAAAATAAAAGTGTTGGAAAGGGGACTTGAACCCAGGTCTATTCGTTAGAGTTTGAGCCCAATAACCAACTAAGCCACCCTTAGTTATTGTCTATTGAATATAAACAAGGTTATTTTAACCTTTCTTTTTTCTGTCATATCAATGATAATAATTGTTTTTGCTTGGTAACTTTGGCATGACCAGCGTGATAACTATGACTTGAGCAACATGATAACTATACTATGATAAGCCTGATAACTATAATATGAGAAGGTTAATGACTATATAATGAGAAGCACGATAACTTTAGCATGGGGTAGTGGTAACTTCACATTGGAATATGTTTCGACAACAAAAAGTTACTGGGACATATTTTAGTAACGGAAGCGACTAAGTTTCAGGTCTCCGATGTGTGAGTTACCATGCTATTCACACGAAAATTACCGGGGGATACTTGATCACCACCTGATAGAGGCGGGGTGTCCCGATCTTTCGATGAGATGATAACTATCGATTTGGTGAAGATGACTTTGACGATCCGACTACAAACGTGCACGACGTTGCGCCTTAGCAATCGCTAAACCAACTCCGAGAGGTTATTGACCACGCCGAAGCACAATTAACCTGACCACGAAGGTCTATTCCTGCAAGCAATCGAAGAATGAGCAAGAATATGATAAAGCAATCTGAATATTGCAAATATATATGAAGTATTGATAATGGTGGGGATCCGGAAGCGGTCTTGGTCTGGTCGTTGGACACAAACGAAGTACACGAAGTTGCAATTTAACAAAACAAATCCCCAGGAAAAGCTACTAGATGGATCTACTTATATAGGAGCAAGGGGTGGCGGCCAAGGAGGTGGGAGGACGTCCCAAGGCAGCCTAAAACTAAATCTAGGTCGTACAAGGCCAATGGGCCCATGTGGAGGTGATGTAACACCTTTGGACTTGTAGTTTGACTCGGATTCTGCTGCAGCATCAGATTGTTTCGTCCACAACTCAACGCTCCGGATGAATTTGAAGGTGATTCCAATTGGGTTGGAAAGTGCACGAAATCTAGTTTCCAACAAAAAAAGAATCACCCAATTCGGACTCCGTATGAAAAACTTGTGTGCGTTTTGAGTCAGGTATGTCTGTGCAGTCCGAATCTGAATCCAGAACGTGAGAGACTTGGACTCTATCTTCTCTTGGGCCAAAAGTGACGTGAGAGAACTTTTTGGACAGCAAATAAACATCTCTTTCTTCCTTATCTTCATATGTGGATTGTACAAATGTCTCATACACCTGCAATTAGACAAAACACAAAAGTGTGTGAAGTATTTTTGTTCTGGATAACATAAATAGATTATTGAATAGTTTGCACTAGAAATCACCTGACAAATATGCATATATGCAATATTTTTGGTCATATCCAAGGTAGTCATGTCCTCATCATCCTCCCCTTCTTGAAAATAAAGCCGTCCTCAGCGTTGCTTAATCTGAAATGTGGCTAACAAAAGAGACAAGGTGTACATGTTGTATATGTATATGTCATCCATTTTTACTTCCCTTGATTTTTGCATATATGACACATGAATAGATGAGTAACTTGCATAGTTCATAAAATCTAAAGCCAAAAAATTAGCACAAGAAGTAGAAGGCATGAAAATATTGCAACTCAGTTTGCACATATAAGTGAAGCTCTTATTCATTTCAAAAGATTGACAATGTTCATCATTAAACCATCCCAACATTGGTGAATAAACCTTACTTTCATCAAATTTACATGCTATAACATGCTTAAATAAGCAAACATGCAATAAGTCATTCAACACAGAATCATCACCAAGATTAGAGGTCATATCAAAATGATTAAACATTGGTTCTTTTGCATCAATAGTTAATTCAATGTGTGCACTCAAAATTGTTGGTATTTCAGTTGTTTGATCACATGGCAAAGTCAAATTATCAACGTAGTCCTCTAAAATAGGTGGTGTGATCAAAGTAGTGGGTAGCTCATCAGATGGTGCATTCAAATTGACAAGGCATTCATCATTCTCATGTAGAGATGGAAGATCAGTACCTTTGTCATTACCTCTTATGATCAACTCAGATGATGTAGCCACTCTCGGGGGTGATGTGTCACATGGTGGAGGTGATGTAGTCCTGACAACAACGGATGTGGTTGTCATAGTATGCCTAGTAGTTGAAGGAACAATCATATCAACTCTTGGAATGTGCACCGTGCGCTTGTTCTCCTCGTGGCCAACACGTTGTTTTATTTCCTGTTCAGCTTTGCAAGCAAGATGAAACAAATGGTCCATAGGATAACACTCTTCATGAATTAGTATCTCTTGAATATCACGGTTTAATCCTCCCCAAAATCTATCCATAAAATCATCTTCACTTTCTTCTAAAGAGGAATGCAACAAGGTAGTTTGTAAATCATCATAATATTTTGTTACAGTTTCACTACCTTGTTTTAAGTGTTGCAACTTCTTAATCATGTCACGAGTATAATAAGCAGGGACAAAAGTATGTCGCATGGCAAGTTTCAAATCATCCCAAGTAGTAGGTATATAATCAGGGTGTAACCGACAATATTCACTCCACCAAACCAAAGCATAACCAGTGAAAGAACCAACCGCAACCTTAACCTTTTTATGTTCATCGAAATTATGGGAAGCAAATATATTTTTTATGTCGAACTCTCATTCAATATATAAAGCAGGTTTAAAACGGCCATTAAATGGTGGTATAGATACATTAACCTGATCATGTGCATTTGGATGTTTGTGCACCTCTCGTGACGGTTGTGGTATTTGCAAAGGTGGTGGCACGTCTCCCGCGATCGACAAAGCCCATGAATTGACTCTGGATCCTGTCATGATTAGTAGAACAAGAAACTCTGATACCACGCTCTGATACCACTTGATAGAGGCGAGGGTGTCCCAATCTTTCGATGAGATGATAACTATCGATTTGGTGGAGACGACTTTGACGATCCGACTACAAACGTGCACGATGTTGCGCCTTAGCAATCGCTAAACCAATCTCCTGAGGTTACTGACAATGCTGGAAGCACGGTCAGCCTGACCACGAAGGTCTATTCCTGCAAGCAATCGAAGAACGAGCAAGAATATGATAAAGCAATCTGAATATTGCAAATATATATGAAGTATTGATAATGGTGGGGATCCGAAAAGTGGTCTTGGTCTGGTCGTTGGACACAAACGAAGCACACGAAGTTGCAATGGCTAACTTTTAACTAAACAAATCCCAAGGAAAAGCTACTAGATGGATCTACTTATATAGGAGCAAGGGGTGGCGGCCAAGGAGGTGGGAGGACGTCCCAAGGCAGCCTAAAACTAAATCTAGGTCGTACAAGGCCAATGGGCCCAAGTGGAGGTGATGTAACACCTTTGGACTTGTAGTTTGACTCGGATTCTGCTGCAGCATCAGATTGTTTCGTCCACAACTCAACGCTCCGGACGAATTTGAAGGTGATTCCAATTGGGTTGGAAACTGCACGAAATCTAGTTTCCAACAAAAAAAGAATCACCCAATTCGGAGTCCGTATGAAAAACTTGTGTGCGTTTTGAGTCAGGTATGTCTGTGCAGTCCGAATCTGAATCCAGAACGTGAGAGACTTGGACTCTATCTTCTCTTGGGCCAAAAGTGACGTGAGAGAACTTTTTGGACAGCAAATAAACATCTCTTTCTTCCTTATCTTCATATGTGGATTGTACAAATGTCCCATACACCTGCAATTAGACAAAACACAAAAGTGTGTGAAGTATTTTTGTTCTGGATAACATAAATAGATTATTGAATAGTTTGCACTAGAAATCACCTGACAAATATGCATATATGCAATATTTTTGGTCATATTCAAGGTAGTCATGTCCTCATCATCCTCCCCTTCTTGAAAATAAAGCCGTCCTCGGCGTTGCTTAATCTGAAATGTGGTTAACAAAAGAGACAAGGTGTACATGTTGTATATGTATATGTCATCCATTTTTACTTCCCTTGATTTTTGCATATATGACACATGAATAGATGAGTAACTTGCATAGTTCATAAAATCTAAAGCCAAAAAATTAGCACAAGAAGTAGAAGGCATGAAAATATTGCAACTCAGTTTGCACATATAAGTGAAGCTCTTATTCATTTCAAAAGATTGACAATGTTCATCATTAAACCATCCCAACATTGGTGAATAAACCTTACTTGCATCAAATTTACATGCTACAACATGCTTAAATAAGCAAACATGCAATAAGTCATTCAACACAGAATCATCACCAAGATTAGAGG